CAGCTGAGTTTCCGCGGACATAAGGCAAGGTGGCCCGAGTTGGAGGAAAGACTCGAGCAGTGGATCATCGAGCAAAGAACGAGTGGGGGGACCGTTTCGACGGTCACTATTCGACTAAAAGCAGTAGCGCTAGCGGAGGAAATGAAAATTGAACATTTTCAAGGAGGTCCGTCGTGGTGCTTTCGTTTTATGAAACGGTGCCATTTTTCCATCCGGACCAGGACTACAGTAGCGCAGCGACGTCCGGCAGATTATAATGAAAAGCTGGGGAGCTTCCACTCATTCTGCAGCAAACACATCTCGGACAAACGCATCCAGCCAAGCCACATCACCAACATGGACGAGGTGCCGCTCACTTTCGACATCCCGGTGAATCACACGGTGGAGAAGAAGGGGACCAGAACTGTATCGATACAAACAACGGGGTATGAAAAGGCTTCGTTTACTGTTGTGCTTGGCTGCCATGCTAATGGACAGAAACTGCCGCCTATGGTGATTTTCAAGAGAAAGACTTTGCCTAAAGAGACTTTTCCAGCTGGAGTCGTTATTAAGGCAAATGAAAAGGGCTGGATGGATGAGGAAATGATGAAAGAGTGGCTGAGCGAGGTGTATGTAAGGAGACCAGGTGGGTTTTTCCACGCATCACCATCACTCTTAATCTGTGACTCCATGCGTGCCCATCTCACAGCCGATGTGAAAAAAAAGGTGAAACAAATGAACGCTGTGCTTGCTGTTATTCCGGGAGGTCTGACAAAGGAACTTCAACCGCTAGACATCGGTGTGAACTGCCCGTTTAAAGTAAGGCTGCGAGCGGCGTGGGAGCGATGGATGACCGAAGGAGAGCACAGTTTCACGAAAAGTGGAAGGCAGCGCCGGGCAAGTTACGCAACAGTTTGCAGATGGATTGTTGATGCTTGGGCTAACGTGTCTGCTGGCACTGTTGTTCGAGCATTCGCAAAAGCCGGCATCATTTCCGAAGAGCCTCACGGCACGGAAAGTGACTCTGACAGCGAAGAAGGGGGAACTGGCATGTCTGCGTTAGCGCAGCTGTTTAATTCAGAAACAGAGGATGATGACTTTGATGGGTTTGATTAATACTTTGTAATAAATAAATGAATAAAGCACAAACAAACTCAGTTTTGCTCCCGATCTATTTTTAACTACGCAGTAGAGGTATTTAAACGTAGTAGAGCATATGTACCAGTATATTAAACCCGCGCCCTGTGGTGCGGCGCGCCTTATGTGTGTGTTAAATACAGCAATGGCACACATAACTGAGACTGCGCCTTTTTGTACGGTGAGCCTTATGGTCGTGAAAATACGGTACTCTTTTTGCACTTCCCTCTCTTTCTCTTTGCTGTCACCACTGGTGACTAGGGATTTTCCTCAAGAAAACGTATTGTCATATTGATGATAACCGTAAAATTGATTAAAGCGTCTGCTAAATGCATAATCATAAACTACATAAACTATCTCTGTGTGGACTGTAGAGTGCATGTTTCTCAGCTGTACCTCAGCATCAGCCCAGGTCTTCCCACTGCCCACAAACAGGTAGCAGAAGCCGTCGTTGTAAGTCCAGCCAGCGGGGCAGTCTGTGCAGGAGGTATCTGCAGACAAGAGGAGGGTTGGCTGAGAGCAGCCTGGTGGAGTTCATGCTCTTTGTCCATTTGCCGCCATTAAGAGGAATGAGAACACTGCAAGAAGCCAGTTTCAGCCTGCTTGTGCTTTGTGCCTCTGCAGAGATGAATTAACTACACAGACGTATTTATGGGATTATTTCCCATCATCCACCTGTGAACTGACAGATTTTTATCACCACTTTTACTGATTTCTGATCGATGGGCCAGCCCAAGGAGTCATAAACATCCCAATCAAACACTGGAATGGATTTGATTTGATGATGGAGGCCCCCTCTGGCACCTCCGTGGACCAATGGGCTGCAGTTCTTCTTAGTTTGGTCAAGAGTTCTGCGTCATTTGCTGGACCCTGCTTTGGTTTCCTCCAGCCTTTTCTGAGCCTCCTGTCCTGAACATGCAGCTAAAGCACTCACTTGTCCTTTTGGGGCATCTCGCCTGTGGATTGAAGAGATGGGATTAGAGATTTACTCCCGTGGGGAAAGTGGTCCATATGGGACCGCCATCAGCACACTACCCTGAATTTAAGACAATAGGAGCAAAGGAAATCCTTACATTTGCTCCCACCCAGAGGACGCAGCTCAGAAAGAGCAGCAGAACGGGCTGAAACCCTGTTTTTGCCATCTGATTAAAGCAGAGAAGGACAGGAATCGGTCAGCTTTCCTTCCAAAACTTCAACTCGTGGCCTTTCATTGCTGCAAAGCCAAGCAGATAGGAGACATCATTTGCAGGAAAACAAGTCAAGCTTTACCTTGTGGGGACTTAAGTCGATCAGGTTGTTGCTGCTTCAGAGTCTGGTGACTGATGCCTTCAGGAAGCCAAGGCAGTGTTTATATACCGTTGATTTGTTTGAGCATGGTCAGCTAATAAAAACAAAGGAGTTGAATATTGGCTCTTCAGGCAGGTGAATTTTTCTATGATAACAAGTTAACACCCTTGTTTAGATTGCACATCACGCAGGTGGATCTGTTTTCGGAGAAGCCATTCAAAAAGTTTGTACCTAAAATCCCTTTAAAGGCTGTTTGTTACCTTATCCACCAGCTTGTCTCCAGTCTGGGTTCAGGAAGCAGACCCCCCCTCTGAGGAACCAGAGTGGGTTCAGGAAGCAGACCCCCCCTCTGAGGAACCAGAGTGGGTTCTGGAAGCAGACCCCCCCTCTGAGGAACCAGTTTGGGTTCAGGAAGCAGAATGGGGCCCATTCACCACAGAATGCCTGACAGTTACATCAACACAACTGTGAAAAGACAACAAACTCTTTGAATTTCAAACTGACACATCAAATTGTCCTGTCAGGTGTCTGGACAAGTGTAAATACAGGATGTATGTTCTGGGTACATGATGGTTTCTCCTCCCAGTCAACTGGTTGATGGTGCTCTGGTTTATTCAAGCTTTAGGATGTTGTTTTGGAAAGTCCAATAAAAAGCTTTGACTGTTGGGCAAGGAAATAGCAAGCTTGACATTTCTCTGTAAATTGGGAGTGTTTGT